TGAGCATCCTGAAAATTTAATTAAATCAATTTCTTTTACAATAGCATCAAAATAAATAATATACTCTAAACAAATTTTTGTTAAAGAGAAAGACTAGTATATCGCAAACTATAAAACATTGCTGAAGGAACTGAACATGGCTTAGTTATATTAAAAACACCCTGTGTTCCTGAATTGGAAGACTGAATATGGTTTTATGGCAATGTATTAACAACTTTTGTTTGCTTGTTTGTTTGTTTTTTGTACCAGGGAAGGACTTTGTGCTTGCCAGGCAGGTGCTACACCACTGAACTAAATCCTTGGCCCATAATCTTTAGAGTCACTGAAATCAATATCATCCCAATGACCATCCTTACAAAAAAAAAAAAATAGAACAGCTAAATCTAAAATTCTTATTGAACTCCAAGAAAGCTTAATAGCCAAAACAATTATTTTTATTAGTTTTTCTTTTGGATACTGGGTCTCCCTAGGTCATGTACACTGATATAAAACTGAAGATCCTACTGCTTCAGCCTCCCCACTTGCTGAGACCACACGTGTGTGCCCCCAAATCAGACTCAAAACAATTCATGAGTAAGAAACACAAGATGAGGACTAATACTTCCAGATTTCAAATTAGACTAGATATAGAGATCAGTGGAATATCTTTAGAGTCCAGAAATAAAGCCATAAACAATGCTCAGCTGACATCAACAGTATCATCAAGGTTATTCAATGGAGGAATGATTAAACAATCCCACTGCTACAGAGGATTTGACTCAGTGGCACCACACCTGCCTCAAAAGTGCAAGGTCCTGAATTCTATCTCCGGTACTCAACAAACGAACAAGAAACAAAAACCAAAACATAATTGCAATGCTGCAGCAATTGAATATCCACATATCAAACAGTATAGTCAGAACCCTGCCTCACATTATATGCAAAAATTAGCTCCATAAACTATGAAACTTTGAGTCAAATTACAGGGGTAAATCTTCAAGACCATGGACTTGGCAGTGCTTTCTTGATTATGCTGCGGAAAGTATAATCAGAAAAATGAAGGATCTGACCTCATCATAATTTAAAGGTGTTTTTCACTGAAGGACATAATGAATAATTCAAAGGGGTAGCTAGCAGAATAAGAAATTACATGTCCAAATCAATTATCCAAAAAAGTACAAATACTCAATATACTGGAGAACTTTTATCTCTCAAAAGCCAAAAGGAAATACAACTTTAAAAAATAGTCAAGGAAGTGAAGAGACTGCCAGCAGAGTGGGAAAAATATTTTGTCAGCTACTTCTCAGAAAGACGAATAATATCTAGAATATATAAACAACTCCAACAGTGACCCCCCAATAAAGGACTCAATCAGTAAATGGGCAATGCAAATGAGTAGACACTTCTCAGAAAAAGAAATGCAAACGGCCAATAAATGCATGAAAAACTGTTCTACATCTCTGGCCATTAGGGAAATGCAAGTTAAAACAATATTGAGTTTCCATCTTATTCCAGAAAGAATGGCTACCATCAAGAAATCAAATAAACATAAATGCTGGTGAGGTTGTAGGAGAAAAAAGAACCTTGCTGAATGTAAACTAGTATAACCACTATGGAAATCAGTATGAAGATTTCCCAAAGAACTAAAATTAGAAGTTACTTTCAAAATAGCTATTCGCCTTCTAGGTATCATCCTCCAAATTTAAAGATATATCATATTACAATGATACATGCATACCCATGTTTATGGCTGCAAAATTCACAATATCTAAATCTTGAAAAAATGTCTATCATCAACAGATAAATGGATAAAAATGCGGTATTTATATACAGTGGAAGAGTACACAGCCATAAAGAAGGATAAACTTGAGTCTCTTGTAGGAAAATGGATGCATAATGTTAACTGAAATAAATGAGACACACAAGCTTAAATATCACATGGTTCCACTTATATGAGAAACCCAAAGTATAAAGAATTTAAAGACCAAAATAAAAGAGAACAGGAAAAGTGATTTCGAGCTTTTGCAAATGGGAAAAAGGACCAAGAGGTGGAGGAAGGGAAGAGGAAGTAAAAGGAACTAAGTTGTATTATGTAATATAGCAACTGCTTATGATGAAAGTAGTCATGTTGCAAACATAGTAATAAAAATAAAAATTAAAACAATTAACTTGAATAGATATTTCTCCAAAGTAGTTTTACAAATGCCCAATGAACATGTGAAAAGGTAATAATATTAGTTGTATACATATACAAAGGAAAACCATCTCATGTTGTCATTTCACATGTAATAAATTGGACCTTTTTAAAAGCCTCCCAAAAGAAAAAGAGGAGTATTGGCAAGGAGGTAGAGAAAATGGCATCTTGTACAGTGGGGAAGCAAATTTGTTCAGTTGCTATGGAAAACAGTTTGTGATAATTTTTTAAAAAAATAAACATGGAATCATGATATGAACTGGCAATTCCACTGCAAAGTGTATACCCCAAAGAAATGAAAACATGTAATGGAATAATTACGTCCATATTTATGTTCATAGTGGCACTACTAACAATAGCCAAAAGGCAGACCAAAGCCAAATATCTATCACTCAATGAATGAATAAATAAAATGGGGTATGCATACACAAGGAATATTATTCAGCCCTGAGAACAAAGGAACTACTTATTAATAGTGCATGAACTTTGGAAGCATTGTACTCTGAAACAGGCAAGTGGGAAAGGCCGATTCTTATACAGATTCAATTTATGTGAACTCCCTGGTAGAGGTCACCCCACAGGGACAAAAAGCAAAATAGTGTTTGCTGGCAGGTAGGCAGGTTGGGAGGACAGGAACGGGCATTGTCTACTTAGTGGGTTCAGGGCTTTCTTGGAGGGAGTAAAATTCTGTGGAACTAAACAGAGTTAAAGCTGGTGAATGTAGTGAATGATATTGAATTGCACACAGGGAAATGAGTACTCTTATGATACATGGATTTTTACCTCAATTTTGAGAAGTAGCAATATTTGTAAACATGTTACTGGTCCTCCTAAATTGTTATTTTGAAAAGCACTTAAATTCTCACTGAAGGACACTTACTTTAAGAAGAATTTGAATAACATTGTTTTCTGAATCTACATATGCATAGGGAAAAACAACAATACATGGCACAACAGTTAGTGTGACTGTATGTGTGTGCATGTGGTATTGGGGGTTCAATCCAATGACAGCTTTTTGAAAAAAATTCGCTCTCTCCCTCCAGGTCACAGGCGTGGCTCCAGCTAGTAATGGTCATGGCAGAGGCTTGAAGAATGTTGGATTGTAGACCAGTATCCCCCTTTTGCCTTCCCCTCCCAAGGACATTTTAAAGATGCTTACTTCATCTCACTATGACTGACCTGACAAATGCTCTTTCGAATTTCTTCAAGATCCAAAGTGAAATATAAAGCACTAAGCACTAGAAACTGTATATTAATATGAATATATGGCCATGATGAATACAGTGCAGCGAGGGCTTGTGTAAAGTGATACATGCATACATTTATATCTAAGAGAAATGAGCATGTGTGGTGTACATAGGTACAACTTTGTAAAAACGTGATTTTTCTGCATACACAAAGTTCTAAAATCTGTATGTTTGTGATCTTGGTCAGTGTTAGAGGCTGTATTTGTATACATTTTTTTGTATATATGTAAACAAATATTAATAAAAAACTGCAGCTGCATTTGAGTGGTATGAATACATTTTCCTTTAACTATTCTCCAGGAGCACATTACAGTGCCTGAATATGAAATATGCCAAATAGGGATAATTCTATTGAAAGTTCACTTTCATTTACTGTGGCTTTTAAGTTTCAGGAGGATCACCTGATGTTGAAGGCCATTTTGGGCTGCATAGTTAAGTCAAAGCCAGCCTAGAGTACATAAAGAGAATCTTGCTAGGTAAAACAACAAAAACAAAACAAACGAACAAAAAACCAAATTGGAATTTATGGTAAAAGTTTTTTCCTGCTTCTGCAATACTGGAGCTTAAATTTAGGGCATTTCCACTATGTCATATCCACAGGAATTTTTTTTCTCTCTCTCTTTTATTTATTTATTTATTTTTTGAGCCAGGGTCTCACTATGTAGTTGAGACTGACCTGGAACTCACCACGTAGCCCAGGCTGGTCTCGATCCTCCTGACTCAGCCTCCCGAGTGCTGGGATTACAGGAATACACAACCATGTCCAGCTATGTTATTTTATTTATTTTTTTTTTGTCTGAGTGTACCTAGGTTCCTGAATTTCCCAGACTGTCCATGAATTTGCAGTCATCCTGATTCAACCTCCAGGAGAGCTGTGATTATAGGAATAAGATACTCCAAACAGGTATAGGACAGAAACTTGAGAATAAAAAAAAAATTATGACAATGTCAAAACCTGCTGGGAACCAAAAGTCAAAATGTTCATTCCAAAATGCATAACTCAAAATAAGTCAAATGCAAATGTACTGTGTTCTTTCAATGTCTACTTAGAACTTTGTATGTATTGAAAGAATGGGAGTAGATATACAACAGATGATCACTATGAAACACAAAGTTTTATGATGGTGCAAAACTCTTCAAGAGTATATGGCTATTTCCTGAAAATTTTCCACGCTCAATGCCGAAATTACCTGAGAAAATGTAGGAGCTCTCCCTAATTGGAAAGAAAAACGCCTGTACACAGTAAACATGTAGAAACCAGGGATAGCCCACTTAAATGTGGGAAAAGGCTTGGACATTAACGGATGATTCCATGGAACCCAGCTGATCTCTCCCATTGTTACCATGTACACTTTCAATTACAGGTGTCACTCCAGGGAAGACTTTATTCAGCCTGGAGTCCACCAGCTTCACCTAAAGTCAGTCTGTGATGAACACGCAAGGCCTGGTGCTTAGGTCGGAATGTGGAGTAGGACTTCCAGGGAACCTAGGACTTGTGTCCCCATGAAAACCAAGACCCCAGAGCCTGGATCTATTCTTCATGGAGCCCACAATCCTGAGTATTTTATTTTCCTTCCTAGGCATGCAACCCAGATGTTTGGTCATCAGTGCCAGGAGACAATGAGATGCTGTGATGATGGAGAGGAAGCCCTGGAGGTGCAATGTTGGGTGAAGAAGAACAATACTGGGAGACTTGGTCCTCTGAAACGATTTTGGAAGAGAGAAGCTGACTGATGAAGGTGGGCGGCTTTGATATCACTTTTATAAAATTTTTAAAGTGTTCATTTTATTTTCCTATTGTTGTAGCTTGGGATACAACAGGGGCCTTGCCTATGAAATCTATGGCTGACACCAAATTGGAAGCAAAAGCAGTGTTGTAATAGTGCAATATATTTTCTTAGGATTAATTATTTTTTATTGAGTGTATTGGTACAATCTAGGTCTACAATAGAGTTACATTCATTACTGGGATCCTGTACCTTCACATGACAGGTCTGGGTTCTCATTTTTTCCCCTTGTCCCTGCCCTCCCTCCACCCACTCCTCCCCTCCCCATTTACAAACTCTTTATTTCTGTTTTTACATTTTTTCATATTTTTCCTTTTCCCTTATTTCCTTTTCCCTCCCCTACCTTCCCACTTTCCCTACAGCTTTAGCCCTTGCCTTCCCATTTCACACTTTTAATTAATTATCCCATCGGGATCTTGTGTGCTATTGTAGTTTTTCACAGCAGAGAAACGATTCGGTATTTACACATGTGTGTGGAATATATTTTCTCTAATTAAATAAAGCAAGAAGTAGCTGGCCCTAGTGTCTTTCTCAATTGGGCGTTTTTTTCAAATGTGAAAGGCGGAGGGAGAGCACATGGCTGTGGGCCGGTTGGGTCTCCTGGAGCAATACTGCCATCGCGCGGATAACGTTTCATAAAGCCGCATGTCCTCAACTGCTCCTCTATAAAACCTCAGCAAATGAGGAAATCAGGGTTTGCAGATAGACCCAAGCCAAACTGACTTCGCGTTCTTTTGCTCTATGATCACTACCTGGAATACAAATGTAGAGTGTTGGGGCCCAACTCCGACACTGAGGGACAGGACTGAACGTGCCACTGGCACCCGGACTGTCCCTGTCTTCGTGTTCTCACTCGGCCGGAAGGTGGAACCGAAAGCCCATTGCAGCGTGGCATTACGTAAAGGCCCAGGAATAAGCCCTGTCAGTGGCAGGCAGAGGACTCAGTGCCCTCAACAGCCCACTGCTGCGTGAGGGGGTCTCTGGTCCAGTCCTGCCCAGAGGAACCTAGGCCACGCCCCACGACTTCCTGTCATGGCGGCTGCTGTCAGGTGCAAGTGCACTCCAGGTCCTTTATTTCCACCCCAGGGTAGCGCTGCCAGGTAACTATGGTCCTCTTGGGGCTTTAGCAGGAGGCAGAGACCCCAGCCTGAGCGAAAGCCAAATTTTAGTTCACTAGAAGCAGGCTTTCAGTAACCTCTGGATTAGATGGGAGAGGAGTCATGGCGGTGGGGAAGATGAAGTGATTTCCGCACGATGGCAGTAGTGCGCCGCGCCATGGTGAGAGTGCTCCCCTCCCGCCTTACGTGTCTCAAAAAAACGAAACGGAAAGGTAAAAATACTAAGTGCTTTCTCTGAAGAACTAGAATTTATGGTACTAGACCAAGGTACAGCTGGCACAGCACTGAGAGTGTAGTGAATGCCACTGAATGGCACACAGTAGCTGGGGAAATGTTACGTCACGGGAATGTTGTCTCACTTTCAAAAAGTGGCAGTGCTTTGGAAGAGATGCGAGTGTTGAAAAGCAGTAATTATTTTTCAAAAATGATCAAATTGCTAGTGCAGAAAACTTGCTTTATCTTTTATGGTATGAAAAACCAGACATGGTGTCATATGCCTGCAATCCCTGCAATCTGAGTGGCTGAGGCAGAAGCATCCTCAGGTCTAGCCCAGCCTGGGAAACTTAGTGAATTAACTAGGCCCAGTCAGGTAATGAAAACAAGAAAATGGGAAATGTGTGAATATGATGGCCTTGGGTTCAGTCCCTAGTACTGCAGGGACAGTAACAAAAATGGCATGGAGAACATTGCTTTATAGAAGTACATGCTGTGTAATAAGCACAGGAAGACTTGATCATACACAGAACAGGTATGTTTTTCTGTTACTGGGGATGGACATGAAGCCTATCATACTGAACCACATTATAAGTCTTTGTTGTCGTTGTTTACACTCATTTTTGTTACTTTTATTTTATTTTTTTTCCTCATTTCGTTTTTTGGTACATTTTAGGTATACATTACAGTTACATTCATTATTGGGATCTTGTACCTTCTTTACATGACATTTGCACTCCTTGCTAAACTTTTAAATTGTCCAGAATGGGCTCAAACTTTATATCTTCCTGCCTCAGCCTTCTAATATTGTGATTTCAGAGGTTTTTCCCACCTCAACACATTTTTAAATGTGCCTGTCTTTTTCTTCCTGGGGTCGGCCTGACACATGGTTTCTGCTTCATAAATTCTGAAATGTGCAGAGTGAAATGTAAAAGTCAAAGCACTCCAAACTCTGACAAAGGTGGTGTATGAGGCTGCTGCTAAGGACTGTGAAAAGTGACGGACACCTACAAGGGTATCTGAAGAGAAATGAGCATGTGGTAGCGGTAGGTGCATCTAATTCTACAGAAATTCAAAATTTGCATGTTTGCAATCATGGTTAGTGATTAGCGGAAGTGTGTAATTGGTTATGAGGATTTGTGAGAACGTGTTTCCATGAATGCAAACAGAAATGTGTGAATAACCTTAGCTGTATGTGAATGGTGTGACTCCTCCATGTCCAAGTGTTGTGAGGGTTCTGTCAGGATGGCTGATTTTGAGAGAAGCACAAGATCCACAGTTCTCTTCATATAAAATTTGAGAGATGCCAGTGTTCTAGGGTTCCCTCTAGCTTTTGTTTTCGTTCTTTGGAGCGTTAAACGTAAACTTTTCGGAACTCTCATGATGCTCAGGCATGAACCCCCAGGTAGGTCTAAAAATCAAACTTTGGGATAAAAGCTCTATTCTTCTTGTGCGAGGCTGTGAAACAAAGGCCTTTGTATTGATGTGCAGCACAGACTTTTTCATTTTGAGACTGAATTTACTAGTTTGCATGATTTGGAATCATACTTCCTCAGCCTCCCAGAAAGCTGAGACTTCAGACATGTAGGAGTAGGATAAAAATTGGAGAATAAAACACTACCAAGTTGAAAGGCTATGCATGTATACTTTTATAAAATATCTATAGCCCATATTTATATAAGTATATAGGGAGACAAATCCATAATCATCGATATAGATACTAAATGAGAAGTTAATATTTGAATAGAACATAGAAGTGAAAAGCATTGCAGATGTCAGTTTGTATAATACTGAGTTTTCACATATTTTATGATAATGTGAAAAAAACCCTGGAAATGAAAGGTGAAAATGTGGAATCTAAAATGCAATGAGGGCTTGGGTTTTAGCTCAGCGGTTCTGACACCCTGCACTGCACGCACAAGAACCCGAGTTTAATCAGTCGTAGGAAAAAAACAACCCAAAACGGGTAACTCAAAATAATTTAAATGGAAATGTATTGTGTTGTTTCAATGTTTATTTTTTTAATCTCAGTGAATGTATTGGTACATTGTAGATATACAGTACAGTTACATTCATTATTGAGATCTTGTACCTTTACATGATAGATCTTGGTTCTCATTTTTCCCCCAATCCCTGCCCTACCTTAACCCCCTCTTCCCTTCCCTATTTACAAATACTTTATATCCAGTTTTTCATTTTTGCATAGTTTTTCCTTTTCTCTTATTACCCTTCCTTCCCCTTTCCTTGCTATTTCCCCCACACCTTTAGCCCTTTTCTTCCTATTTCACATTGTCAATTATATCATTAGGATGTTATGTATGGTTATCAATTTCTTTTTAGAACACTGTCTTTATATACTGTAAGAATGAAGGTAGACATAAAAAAGATTATCATTATATAATATAAAGTTTTGTGATGGTGTGAGACTCTTGATAAGTATAAGGCTATTTAGTAAATACAATTTAAATGAAAGCGGATTGCAGAGTCTGTCTCCTTATACGATTGTCTCTAGTAGGTATTGGTACGATGGGCGTACACATGTGAAAGAATATTACTGTACAATATAAAGTTTTATGAATGGTGGATGTCTCTTCATAAAGAAATAGCTATTTGCTGAATTCTGCTGAATCTCCATGATTGTGCTATGAAAGAGAATTATTTGTAAGAGCTTTCTTGAAGTGAAACGAAAAACTCACTTACACAGCACACACATAGATACCAGGGAGAGGCCATTAATGCGCCAAAAGGCTTGTACATTAACAGATTATTCCATAGGATCAAACAGATCTCTCCCATTGTTACCATGTACACTTTCAATTACAGCTGTCACTCCAGGGAAGACTTTATTTAGCCTGGAGTCCACCAGCTTCACCTAAAGTCAGTCTCTGATGAACACGCAAGGCGTGGTGCCTAGGTCGGAGTGTGGAGTAGGACTTCCAGGGAACCTAGGACTTGTGTCCCCATGAGAACCGAGCTTCCCAGAGCCTGGATCTATTCTTCATGGAGCCCACAATCCTGAGTATTTTATTTTCCTTCCTAGGCATGCAACCCGGATGTTTGGTCATCAATGCCAGGAGACAATGAGATGATGTGATGATGGAGAGGAAGCACTGGAGGTGCAATGTTGGGGGAAGAAGAACAACACTGGGAGACTTGGTCCTCTGAAACGGATTTTGGAAGAGAGAAGCTGAGTGATGAAGGTGGGCGGCTTTGATATCACTTTTATAAAATTTTTAAAGTGTTCATTTTATTTTCCTATTGGTGGAGCTTGGGGTACAACAAGGGCCTTGCTTATTAAATCTATGGCTGATACCAAATTGGAAGCAAAAATAGTATTGTAATAGTGCAGTATATTTTCTTAGGATTAATTATTTTTTATTGAGTGTATTGGTACAATCTAGGTCTACAATAGAGTTACATTCATTACTGGGATCCTGTACCTTCACATGACAGGTCTGGGTTCTCGTTTTTTCCCCTTGTCGCTGCCCTCCCTTCACCCTCTCCTCCCCTCCCCACTTACAAACTCTTTATTTCTATTTTTACTTTTTTTCATATTTTTCCTTTTCCCTTATTTCCTTTTTCCCTCCCCTACCTTCCCACTTTCCCTACACCTTTAGACCTTGCCTTCCCATTTCACACTGTTAATTAATTATCCCATCGGGATCTTGTGTACTATTGTAGGTTTTCACAGCAGAGAAACTATTCGGTATTTACACATGTGTGTGGAATATATTTTCTCTAATTAAATAAAGCAAGAAGTAGCTGGCCCTAGTGTCTTTCTCAATTGGGCGTTTTTTTCAAATGTGAAAGGCGGAGGGAGAGCACATGGCTGTGGGCCGGTTGGGTCTCCTGGAGCAATACTGCCATCGCGCGGATAACGTTTCATAAAGCCGCATGTCCTCAACTGCTCCTCTATAAAACCTCAGCAAATGAGGAAATCAGGGTTTGCAGATAGACCCAAGCCAAACTGACTTCGCGTTCTTTTGCTCTATGATCACTACCTGGAATACAAATGTAGAGTGTTGGGGCCCAACTCCGACACTGAGGGACAGGACTGAACGTGCCACTGGCACCCGGACTGTCCCTGTCTTCGTGTTCTCACTCGGCCGGAAGGTGGAACCGAAAGCCCATTGCAGCGTGGCATTACGTAAAGCCCCAGGAATAATCTGTCAGTGGCAGGCGGGGGGAGTCAGTGCCCCTAACAGCGCACCACTGTGTGAGGGGGTGTCTGGTCCAGTATGGCGCAGAGAAACCGAGGCCACGCCCCACGACTTCCTGTCATGGCGGCTGCTGTCAGCTGCAAGTGCATTCCAGGTCCTTTATTTCCACAGCAGGGTTGCTCTGTCAGGTAACTACCGTCCTCCTGGGGCTTTAGCAGGAGTAAGGGAGCCCCTCATGGAGCCAAAGCCTCATTGTAGTTCACTACAAGTAGACCCTTTGCCAATGACTTGTTCAGTTGGGAGAGGAGTCGTGGTGGTGGGGAAGATGAAGTGATTTCCGCAGGATGGCAGTAGTGCGCCGCGCCAGAGTGAGAGTGCGCCCCTCCCGCTTTACATGTCTCAAAAAAAACGACTCCCAAAGATAGAAAAACTAACTGCTGTCCTTGAAGAACTACAATTTGTGGAACTAGGCAGAGGTAAAGCTGGCACAGCACTGAGCATTTAGTGAATGCCACTGAATTGCACTCAATTTCAAAAAGCGGCAAAGCTTTGAAAAAGATGAGTGTGCTCAAAATCATTAATTATATTTCAAAAGAGATCAAATTGCAAGGGCAGAAAACTTGTTGTAACTTTTATGGCATGAAAAAAAAGGCGTGGTGGCACATGCCTGCAATCCCAGTGGTCTGGGTGGCTGAGACAGAAGCATTTTAAGGTCTAGCCCACCCTGGGAAATTTAGTGAATTAACTAGGCCCAGTCAGGTAATGAAAATAAGAAAATGGGAGGTACCTGAGCATGATGGCCTTGGGATCAGTCCCTAGTACTGCAAGGACAGCAACAAAAATGGCATGGAGAACATTGCTTTATAGAACTCCATGGTATATAATAAGCACAGGAAGACAATCATTCATAGCATAGGTATGTTTTTCCTTTGCTGCGGATTGAATCTTGTTTCACACTGAACCACATCATGAGTCATTGTTGTTGTTTTTTATACTCTGCTAAAGTGTTAATTTGTCCAGGCTGGGTCAAACTTTCCAGGCTCCTCCCTCAGCCTTCTAAGTGTTGTGATTTGAGAGGTTTTTCCCCACTCCCTTTTCCTCACTGTTGTTTACATTGTGCCAGTGTTTTTGTTCCTGGGGTCGGCCTGACACATGGTTTCTGCTTCATAAATTCTGGAATGTGCAGAGTGAAATGTAAAAGTCAAAGCACTCCAAACTCTGCCAACGGTGGTGTAAGAGGCTGCTGCTAAGGACTGTGAAAAGTGACTGACACCTACAAGGGTATCTGAAGAGAAATGAGCATGTGGTAGCTGTACGTGCATCCAATTGTAGAGAGCTTCAAAATATGTGTGTTTGAGATGATGGTTACTCGTTAGAGTAAGTGTGTAATTGGTTATGAAATTTAGGAGAACCTATTTCCATGAATGTAAACAGAAATGGTTGAATAACCTTAGCTGTATGTGAATGGTGTGACTCCTCAATGTCTAGGTGTTGTGAGGGTTCTGTCAGGATGCCTGATTTTGAGAGAAGCACAGGATCAACAGTTCTCTTTATATCAAATTTGAGAAATGCCAGTATTGAAGGGTTCTCTCTGGTTTTTGCTTTCGTTCTTTGCAGACATTAAAGGTAAACTTCTAAAACCCCTCATGATGCTCAGGAAGGTCACCCTGTTTGTCTAAAAATCAAATTTTGAGACAAAATGTTTTTTCTTCCTGTCCAGGCATTGAAACAAAGGCCTTTATATTGATGTACAGCACATTCCTTTTTATTTTGGGACTGAATCTAATATTTTGCATAATTTGCAATCACACTTCCTCAGCCTCCCAGAAAGCTCAGATTTCAGACATGTAGCAGTAGGATAAAAATTGGAGAATAAAACACTACCAAGTCTTAAAGGTTATACATGTATACATTAATAAAATGTTTATAGGCCTTGTTTATGTAAGTATTTAAAGAGATGAAAGCACATTTATTGATTAAATTATTAAATGAGAAATTAATATTTTGAATGGAACACAGCAGTGAAAAGCATTGCAGATATCAATTTTTATAATCCCGAGTTTTCTCATATTTTATAAAGTGAAAACCAACCTGGAATTGAGAAGTGAAAATATTCAATCTAAAATACATTGATAAAAAAAAATCTAATCATTGGCCTGGGAATTAATGTAGTGGTTTCTTTTGCCTTGTAAGCAATAGGACCCAAGTTCAAGCAATGGTAGTTTAAAAAAAAAAACAATGTGTAACTCAAAATAATTTAAATGCAAATGTATTGTGTTGTTTCAATGGGTGTTTAAAACATTGTGTGTATATATTGAAAGAATGAAGGTAGACAGAAAATATTACCACTATATAATACAAATTTTATGATGGTGTGACACTCTTGATAAGTATATGGCTATTTAGTAAATACAATTTAAATGAAAATGTATTGCAGAGTGTACTTATAGCATTGTCTGTACGTATTGGAACAATGAGGGTACACTTCTGAAAGATTTTCACTGTACAGTAGAAACTTTTATGACTGGTACATGTCTCTTCATAAACACATAGCTATTTGCTGAATTCTGTTGAATGTCCGTAACTGTGTTATGAAAGAAAATCTGTAAGACCTGTCCTTAAATGCAAACATAAAACTCACATACACAGTACACACATAGATATCAGGGAGAGGCCACTTACTGAGGGAAAAGGCTTGAAAATTGAAGGATGATTCCATGGGACCAAAATGATATCTCCCACTGGAGTATGTACAGTTTCAATTACAGTCGTCCTCCAGGGAAGACATTATTCTCACCAAAAGTCAGTCTCTGATGATCACACAAGGCCTGTTCCTTAGGTCAGCGCGTGCAGTAGGAGGACCAGGGAACCTGGCATTTCTCTCAGGATGAGAGGCAAGCTCCCTGGTGCCTGTTATTCATGGAGCCTACAATCCTGAGTATTTTATTTTCCTTCCTAGGCATGGAACCCTGATGTTTGGTCATCAATGCCAGGAGACAATGAGATGATGTGATGATGGAGAGGAAGCACTGGAAAGTGTTCATTTTATTTTCATATGTCTGGAGCTCAGGACACAAAAGGGGGCCTTGCCTTTTAAATCTAACACTGATATCAAATTGCAAGCAAAAGTATCATTCTAATGGTGGAACACATTTTGTGGAATCAAGCAAAGTAGGAGGTAACACATGTTGTACAGTCTGTAGCAGTGCTCCTTTTTTGCAAACGCAAAAGGCGGAGGGAGAGCATATGGTTGTGGTCTGGTTGGGTCTCCTGGAGCAATACTGCCATCGCGCGGATAACGTTTCTTAAAGGCGTATGTTCTCAGCTGCTCCATAAAACCCTAGCCAATGAGGAAAGCAGGGTTTGCAGATAGACCCAAGCCAAGCTGGCCTCGCGTTCTTTTGTTCTAAAATCACTACCTGGAAAACAAATGTAGAGTGTTGCGGCCCAATTGGGACACTGAGGGGCAGGACTGAACATGCCAGTGGCATCCGGACCTGCCCTGTCTTCTTGTTCTCACTGGGCTGCAAGGTAGCACCTAAAGCCCATTGCAGCGGGGCATTACGTAAAGGCCCAGGACTAATCGCTGACTGTGGCAGGCAGAGGAGTCAGTGCTCCCTAAACCCACCGCTGTGTGAGGGGGTCTCTGGTCCAGTCCTGCCCAGAGGAACCGAGGCCACGCCCCACGACTTCCTGTCATGGCGGCTGCTGTCAGCTGCAAGTGCACTCCAGGTCCTTTATTTCCACCCCAGGGTAGCGCTGCCAGGTAACTACCGTCCTCCTGGTGTTTTAGTAGGAAGCAGGGAGCTCAGCCAGGAGCCAAAGCCGAATTCTAGTTTCCTACAAGTAGGCCTTTTGACAACGCCTGGTTCAGTTGGGAGAGGAGTTATGGCCATGGGGAAGATGAAGTGATTTCCGCACGATGGCAGTAGTGCGCCGCGCCAGGGTGAGAGTGCTCCCCTCCCGCCTTACGTGTCTCAAAAAAACGAAACGGAAAGGTAGAAATACTAAGTGCTTTCTCTGAGGAACTAGAATTCATG